CAATGTGTCAGAAGAAGAAGCTGTAAACTGTGAAGTTGTAACCAGAGAGCAAGAAAGCTGCAAACAGTCGGGTCACTTCAGGACTTACTTGTGTTAAAAGAGCATACAGAACTTCTATAGAAAATCCATCCAAAATCCTGGTTAAGCAAGACGTTTTCTTCAAAGGCAACACAGTGAACATGAGAAAAAGACACACTGTTATTTAATATGCAACCAAAATGGCCAAGATGCTCACAAATTTTGAAGTAAAGGATGTGGGTTTTGTAATCAGCAGGTAACACCCATACATTGGAGCATGTCTAGATGGGATTGGTAGTTGTGATTGTTGCAGGGAATTCCTTATTGAAATTAAGCATCCATATTGTAAACGCGATTCTGAGATAAGTGATTCGATAGACTGCCTTCAATTTGTGAACAATAACTTGGAGCTATTAACAGGTACATGGCAGCTGCTTGTGACAGGGAAAGAATTCTATGACTTTGTTGTTTGGACTACTGAAGACATGTTTGTCAAAAGAATATGTTGCAAAGGACACCACTCTGTGTGAGGATATTACTAGAAAATGGTAGGTGTTTTTTAAAGTTCCATTCTGCCAGAACTTAATTTTGGAAAGCTATATTCCTCTCCAGGAGCAAGTATTGACTGCTGCATTGCCAGCAAATAATATTGGGCAGGATCAAAGGAGGGAAGTTATTTGTGTCTACCAGAAGGAGGAATACTCAAACAATGTCATTGGTTGTGAGGATGAGATCTTCCCTTTTGTGTAGTTGCATTTTGAGTGTGGAAAAACACCAGAATTGCCTAGGTACAGGGGGCCGCCATTTTGGACACCAGGGGGTTGCCGACACTTAAAGTTGTGCAGAGAAGAAAAGCTTACAGGAGTCCTGATTGGTCATTAACAGAAAATCTTTGTGGTGGAATTTGACAGTGAAATGTAAGTGATAAAAATTATATGTGACATAACAGAATGTGTAAAAAAGATACAGGACTTATAAAGGAAGACTTGAGATGAGAAGTGATATTTTGCTGGACAATTTCATTCAGTGCGGATCTATATCAGTTGTAAACAGGCCAAAATTTAAAGGAAAAATGCAATGGCACGATATATTTTTCGTGGTGGAATTTTGAAGAAGAGGTGTTGAACTTTGCATCACAGTGCCTGATTTTTTGAATATTGATTATATAAATAAGTGACAGTGATTGGAATTTGCATGGAAGTCTATGGGAAAACATTTGGTGGTGTTTGTCCAGGTATCAAGAAAGTTTCCAAAGGAAAGTGGCTCAGCAAAACATTGTCGAAATAAAAAAGAAGTCAGCTTTAACAAATGTGTAAATAGTGAAAGTTTGTGTCAAAAAGAAATCCCCCCCCCCAAAAAAAAACACTGTCGTCGTCTGCTTGGCGGCCTGATGAGCTCTAACAGAGCGAAACAGTGTATTTTAAAGTGTTATGTTTACTTAGTAATAAAATAAAGAGCATGCCAAATTTATAATTTTATCCTGCAACTACCCCTTGCATTGACCTAATAAAGGTAACCTAATAAACCAGAGCTTTATTTGGTCAATGCCCTAATAAAACCTCGTGGATGTATTCCGACATTCTAAAAGCATTGTGGCGTCATGAATATTGCAATGTTTACGCCATGGCGTCTTAGATTCAACTGCAGAGATGTACCTAAATCGATTGAAAATAGCTCATTTTGAAGGTCATGTAAAAATATGTTGCAGGATAAACAAAATACATCGATACTGTCTTGAACTAAAGCAATATTTGGGCTCAGGTCGAAAACGTGATAGAGGGCTCGGCAAGCCTCGCCCTCTATCACGTTTTCTTACCCTCGCCAAAATATCGCTTATATTTCAAGACAGTAACCATGTATTTTTCTTTTAATGTTCATTAATCACATAAATCTACCATTGGTCACGTAGGTGTAATTGATCAATGAATAATCTTATTAATACCAATGATAATTAAGTTTTAGCTCACCTCAACGAAGTTGGGGGAGCTTATGTAATACCGTCGGCATCCCAGGTTAAGGTTTTTGGAGCAGTTTTCTTTCAAGTACTTTAATGGCCTATATTAGTCAGAGATGCATGGAGGATGCTTCTAGTGTGTTTGATTGTACGGTGGCAGTCAAGGTTTCAGATGCTGCAATTTCAGCTAAAGAATGACCAGGTTAATGTTTTTGGAGCAGGTTGAAGTTTTTGGAGCAGGTTAAAGTTTTTGGAGCAGGCCTCATTTCCAAGTAACTATAAACCCTATATTGACCAAACTTCCATGGATGATACATCTAAGGATGCACACTACTGAACTTGCTTCGGATGCTGGATCTGACCTATATTTTCCGGTTGAGTGACCAGGTTAAAGTTTTTGGAGCAGATCTCATTTCCAAGTAACTATAAGCCCTATATTGACCAAACTTCCATGGATGATACATCTAAGGATGCACACTACTGAACTTGCTTCGGATGCTGGATCTGACCTACATTTTCCGGATGAGTGACCAGGTTAAAGTTTTTGGAGCAGATGTCATTTCGAAGTAACTATAAGCCCTATATTGACCAAACTTGCATGGATGATACATCTAAGGATGCACACTACTTGACTTGCTTCGGATGCTGGATCTGACCTACATTTTCCGGATGAGTAACCAGGTTAAAGTTTTTGGAGCAGATCTCATTTCCAAATAACCATAAGGCCTATCTGAACCAAACTTGCATGGATGATGCTTCAAGGGACGAACAATTTCAAAACTTGCTTCGGATGCTGGATTTGACTTACATTTTCTGGATGAGTGACTAGTTTTAAGTTTTCAGATACGTCTATTCCCAAGTAACTGCAAGCCCTATCAGACCAAAATTGCATAAATGTTGCATCTAGGGATGCACACTCCTAGATTTATTAGTTTAGTGTGGGACTTTGCCTTACTTAAAGACGACATTCGTTGAGGTGAGCTCTGTAATCTCTGATTACCTATGTTTAACATTAGAGTAATTTTAGTCATTTTTTCTGGCCTGTTTTAGAAGAGATGAGTTAAAATTGATTTCACAGATATTTTGTACTATACCTGAATTAAATGACCGTCAATATTTTTTGGAGGAACTTGTATCAATTATGTTGCCTGTTTTTCTATACAGAGAATATGGAGACTATGATTTAATGAATATTACAATATATATATATATATATATATATATATATATATATATATATATATATATATATATATATATATATATATATAATGGAGTCTCAACTAAATTTTATTAGGCTTAATTATTTTTTTTTTAATTTAAGATCAATTTTTTAGGTAATGTGGAAAGAAATATTGGCTTCTACTACCAGAGTGAATATAATTTAACGAATTTATGAAGGAAGTTGTTTATGATTACAAAAGTATCCCGAAATACATTTTATGGTTTAAATTGCCCATTTCCAAATTCATGTGATAGAAGTCTTTACGGAAATATTGACTGTGTGTTCATTCAATTTTTTGCAATTTTCTTCTCATTCTGATTTGAATTTTATCTTAATCACATATGCAATTGAAATTGTTCTAAATGTAATAGACTAATGCAATTTAGCGTTAAAGGAATACAAAATCTATTTGAACACTTGGAAAATAAATAAACTTGCAATGCAGTGACGATTATTACGAAAATGAAATATTATTTGTAAATTCCGCTAAGAATCACCAATGTCTAAAAAATTTTGAAAATCTTTTTATAGTAAAGCCAATGCAAGAATTTCATGACAATCTGTCAAGGGAATGTGTTCATCGTTGGCCAATACAGGCATTGCGCGAATATCTAAAGGGCCAATGCAGGCATTGAGACTCTCTTTCACTCAACTGGCAATGCAGCCATTGCCTGACTCGTATGACTATCTCAAAATCCAATGCAGGCATTGGGCGACTCTCATGATAGCCAATGCAGGCATTGAGAGACCCTCTCAAGGCCCAATGCAGGCATTGGGCGACTCTCTCATAAGAGCCAATGCAGGCATTAGGTGACTTCTCAAGGTCCAATGCAGGCATTGGAAGAGTCCCTCAAGGTCCAATGCAGGCATTGGAAGAGTCCCTCAAGGTCCAATGCAGGCATTGGGAGACTCTCTCATAAGAGCCAATGCAGGCATTAGGCGACTTCTCAAGGTCCAATGCAGGCATTAGGCAACTCTCATAAGAGCCAATGCAGGCATTGAGAGACTCTCTCAAGGTCCAATGCAGGCATTGGGCAACTCTCTCATAAGAGCCAATGCAGGCATTAGGTGACTTCTCAAGGTCCAATGCAGGCATTGGAAGAGTCCCTCAAGGTCCAATGCAGGCATTGGGAGACTCTCTCATAAGGGCCAATGCAGGCATTAGGTGACTTCTCAAGGTCCAATGCAGGCATTAGGCAACTCTCATAAGAGTCAATGCAGGCATTGAGAGACTCTCTCAAGGTCCAATGCAGGCATTGGGCAACTCTCTCATAAGAGCCAATGCAGGCATTAGGTGACTTCTCAAGGTCCAATGCCGGCATTGACTGACTAAGTAGTCGGCTAATGCCTGCATTGACTGACTGTGTAGTAAGCCAATGCCGGCATTGGACGACCTAATATGCAGGCATTGGACAACCTAATATGTAGAGCCAATAAAGGCATGAGACAACCCAATATATAGAGCCAATGTAGGCTGTGGATGACCTTATTTGTAGAGTCAATGCAGGTACAGGATGATCTAATATGTAGAGCCAATGCAGGCATTGGAGGGTCCTTATTAAATTAATATTACTTTTCTGTAGTATATTTCTCTTCTAATTGGATTAGGCTCCCTCTATTTTTGTCTTATATTTCACTTTTTATTGAAATTTAGCTGTGCCAGATAAATAATTGTAAAGAACTTAATATTTCCTGGACAGATTAACTTCTTTGTTCCATGTTGGAAGAAGTTCTTCTTTCAGGTAGAAACACAAGAAGCTGAAACAAATTTTAACATTTCTAACATATTAGAAATGTTTTTTTTTAACATAATAATTTATTACAGGATCGGACCATTTCATTTCTCGCATCAATCCCAACAACATTCAGGCCCTTTTTCCTTCCTGCCTGCAGTGCTTCTCCTGAAAAATGATATTTTGCTTAATAGATAAAACTTCATAATGTCTAGTTTATATACAATTCATAATACCTGGTATATACATAATTCCATTCCTTCAATAAATGTCTTATTTTTTCTTTACCTTTTCCACAGTGGAAAACTACCAGATTGCCATTTCTCGTAATCAAATGGGCCAAAATTTTCTCAAAGAACAAGGGCTTTGATATTGCTTCAACTAATTCAGGTAGCCCCTTCATGCCAGCCTTATTTGAAAGTAGGCATACAAAAGGCTGGGTGAAGTTAGCTGAAATAAATTTGTAAAATACCTATTCAGTTACTGTAATACAGTTAAACATAAATAAAGAAAACATACTTATTGCAGTACTGATTTATTCTTATACCAAAGTTATGTTATTCTATTTTTTTAATAAAACATATTATAAACTTATCAGATATAATATAAATTGTATAAAATTTCCAGTGGTTTGTGGTTGGATATGAAGTAGTGTTTTTACCAACGCCACTTCAAAATTTCAAAATAAACACTTATAAAACATGTATCAGTACTCGCTCTTCTTGTTGTAAAATACAACAACTGTTGAACTCTTATTAGGGTACATCAATTCTAATCCTTTCTTTGTATCACTGACACTATTCCATGACGTTGTTAATATAAAGGTGTGATTTTCATGCAGCAAAGGAAGGTCCATACATATCCTTAGGAGGGGTTGCCAGTCAGGCTTTAATTATTAAACATAAAACAAAAATGTAAAATTGCATGGCTCAATTAAATGCAATAAAATAAATCCTCTTGATATGCATGTTGAAAACTATTAAAAATATCTACATTACAACTTAGAATATAAATAATAATAAAAATAATAATTGAACAATCATTTGAAGTTTGGATAATTTATACTCAAACTAGTTTATTTGATTACATATGCTTATACATGTATTTGTATTCAACATGTTCAATAGCACTTTCAAATTGTATTTTTGATAAACATTTTTACATACTATATGCATGTCTGAATTAGAACAGAAACCTAAAGTCCATAGAAAAAAACATGACTTACTGTTTCTTCATTAAAAATGGAAATATCTACAGGCGTCTCCAGTTTCCCCGCCTGAAGGAAAGCCAAGGGATCCTCTTGAAATACAAGGGGCTTTGTTTTGTAGTTCTGGTCTTGAAGCTTGTGTTCAACAAAGCTACGCAGTCTATCCCCAGGAACTCCTCTTTTAACATCTCTGAAAATGGTTAAGGTATAGAACTGCCATGATAAGTATAGTTAAGTGGATTTAGTGTTTATTATTTTATAAACCCCAAAAATACCCTATAAACTGGCTGAGTTCTTCCTTGGCTTCCTGTTCACTGGTCCAGAACTGTGCGAGTGTCTTCTCCCAAGGCATTTTGGAAAGTTTGCACACAACAAACTGAATGTTCAGTGTACCCTTTAAGTACTCAGCTTCCTGTGAAGATAGAAATCTTGTGATCAGTGTCTTATATGATTCAAATACCTTTTTTTAAGATGGAGAGTGAGGTACCATGTCATATGTTATTATACTGAACATAGTTTAACTACCTTTGTCATTCCATCAAGATCATACTCCAAGTTAGTGACCTTAGAAAGGAGCTCCAGAGTTGTCTCCTCTGGCAGAGTCATTAAGGCTCTCCAGGGCCTCGTCACATTTAAAGTGGGTCTCATAATAGATTCGTGTTTCTAAACCATTAAAAAAAAACATTAATATGGCTTTTAAGAAAATATGCCTTCAAAACACATCATTATATTTTTATAAATTTGCTGAAGACCATATTTAAATAAAGAACAAATAGTCTAAGAATAATACATGGCAAAATTTGTAACAGGATTTTTGCATATGTGATAAGCCTGGCATCACAATAGAATTATATCAGTCATAATTTTAAATGCCTGTGCTGTAATTGTGTAGGAACTTCTAAATGTACATGTAAATGATATGTATTGACACCACAAAGCCTTTCTCAAACAAAATTTTTATATAAAGTTTCAATACCTTCAGTCTCTGGTTTTTTAATTTTCCTTCTCCATGAAGTTCAAATATCAATAAGCATTGACTATATACAGCCTCACTGGCGGAAGCAATCCAAAAAAGTGACTGGTAGCTAGATATATCCTAAGAAAGATGTAAAATGACATATGTAAAACTTTGTACTAAAATACAGGGGCCCGTTCTACAAAAGAACTTACGACTAAGACTGAAAACTTAAATTGATCATAAAATTTTGCAAAATAAATGATTAGGCTTAAAAATATCTTACTACATTCCTTTCAAAAAGATTAAAACCATTCTTAATATAAGGTAAATTAAAAAGTTACAAGCAGAATTAAATGTTGGTCTTAGTTGTAAGTTCTTTTGTAAATGGGCGCAGAGAACTACTTGTCGAAGCATGTTCTTTAAACCTGTAGTTGATTGTATAATTTCTATAAAACTTACACAGCCAGGAGGAAGATGTTGTTGGCACTTAAATCGCCAAACTTTGGTATTTTCACACCTGCTGGACTGTACGTCTATTTCTTCTGGTTTCAACGAGTGAAACAGTTTCACCTTGATTAAAGGGGATCAAATTGTGAATTATCATTTTATGATGATTTTTTTTTTGATTCTCATAGAATTTTTTGTGCAATACAAGTTGCAAAGTTCTTAATACACTGTTCCTTACAAACAAAAGTCAAAATAAGATAGTTGTATTATTGATAAGGAATGATAAATATACAGATTGTTTCTAAGTGGATTAAAACAATTACCATGTCTTTGTGAGAGAGCTTGCTAATGTTATGCCCAATAATATTATCAAATAAAATCGCTTCCTCAGGAGTCATGTCCACAAAGATGAGGGACGGGAGTGACAGATATTGTGGCATGTTTGGGTACAGGACATGATTTTCATTTGCTGCCAACCTGCAAAAATTTACAAGTGTTAGCTTAAATTCCAGTATAATTAAAGATCAACTAGCTGCATAACAAAATTAATTATTTAATTGAATGTACCAGAGTCAATATTCTCTCACAATTTGAAATAATATCCCTTCAATAAAACTGTTGTAAAATTTACAATCTGGCCTGTCATAAGATAGAGATAGTAACTAAATCTTCCTGATAGAGACTAAATCAGCCAATTTCTTCCCAAGTATTCTGTTAAAATCCATTTTAACAGTTTTTAACTAGTCAGAGCTGAAAGCTCAAGTGAGCTTTTCTGATCACCTGTTGTTTGTCTTCTGTCTGTCTGTAAACTTTTTACTTTTTTCATCTTCAGTTGGTACAAAGCATCCTTGAGTAAAATTGTTAAAATGAAGGGCCAAGCTCCCTTCAAGGGGAGATAATCAAGAAAAGACAAAAAATAGGGTTAAAAAATCTTCTTTGCTAAATCCTGGCATGCTATTTGTATATGAAAATGAAATAAACATTCTTGATGGGATGCACATCCATCCTGCATAACAATGTAATTCTACTGGTATAAAATGAGCTCTAAAATATTTTGATAAAGTGAATTACAGTTTGCACTTAATTTTTTATTGACAGGAAAACCCCTTTTCAAAATGCCACATTTGCACTACTCTTCACTTTGAATTTGAGAAGTGTGGAAGATATGACAGAGATGGAAAAATTCTTATTATTGATAGAAAGAAACAGCATTGGGATTATGTGAGGTAAATGTTATATACAAATTGCCTGATTTGTAGGCATTAGAATTTTTTATTCACTCTGCTGATAATTATGATGTTGCAGGAGGCAAAAAGAAGCATATTATGAGAGAAGAGAAGTCTCAAGATTGTATCCCAACAAATGTCTGACTATTATCATGGATGGAATGGACCAGAAAAAAACAAACATTCCCATTCTTTTCTCAAAATCTCGGAATTCTAAACAGATTGCCAACCTTCAACAAGTCAGGACTCATCTGCTGGGCTTACTTGTTAACACAGAGATTCAGGTTATTAGCAAACAAACTTTGAATTTATTTCAATTATTATAATGTGTGATGAAGAATTAATGTTTATTTCCACTGAGCAATTACAATATGTAGTTTTATCATTCATTATAATTGTAACTTTTCATAATTAAACTGTACCTACATGTATATTTTATACACTATACAGAGGTATCAGGAGCAAGGAAAGTTGGATATGGGTATTTTGATCTTCTCCAGTATCCCCATGACTCCAATCTCAACCTGACTGTTTTACTGCAAACTTTACTGGGTAACTACATTGTATTAAGAATTCTTTTCCATCTTTTGTATGTTAATTTAAAACATGGAATATTGCATAAAAAATTGTTTGTATACTTCTCCTCCATATATTAAGAGATTATCCCGCAACCACCCCTTGCAGTTTCATTTTTTTAAGGAATAAATAACAGTATTTTACTGATGAAAATGAAACAAATTGTGTGATTAAGTATATTATGAAAAAACACACACATATATCTATCTATCTATCTATCTATTTGCAGACTACAAAGGCAGCATGGGAAGGGAATTCCACTTGCAAACAGATAGTGCCTCCGATAACAAAAATAAGATAGTTCTTGGCTTCCTTGGCATTATGGTTCACCTTGGTATTTTTGAAGAGGTAGAAATAAATAATACATTTTAGGGGTAAGAGTATAGCTTTCATTGAGCATATTTTCAAAGTAATATCAAGCGGAATAATACATTCTTGATATGTGATGTAAGCAACATATGTTATACGATATAAGGCCATCTTTAAAAAAAATGTTTGTCCTCTTCAGACCCACTGGCTAAATATGGCCCGACTCAAAACTTTTTTTTTTATCCTGCAAGAAACGGTATTTTTAAAATTCTTTTTTCCAAGAATTTTCTCATCTCGTCAACGAGTAAATTAAAGTATTTTGATGTTTGATATGTACTTTGAAAATACACTGTATTATAGTCTAGAATAATCAATTTTTCTAATTCTTCAGTGTTATCTGCACATGCTTCCTGTTGGTCATACCCATGAAGACATCGATGCCATGTTTTCCAACTTTTCTAATCTGTTAAAGGCTGATATAATGACTTTAGAAGGTAATTGTCCAATATAATATCTTATGAACTATGATATGTGTGCTGCATTTAGAAACTGAGTACAGGTGTGAGTTAAAGAAATACATTACAAACAAACAACCAATAAAACTGAATATATATATATATATATATATATATAGAGAGAGAGAGAGAGAGAGAGAGAGAGAGAGAGAGAATATTACATACTAAAATCCATATCATAGGTTATATCAGTCCGAGTGGCCCCATATCAGCCCGAGGGCTGATGTGAGGCCCGAGGGCTGATATGACATACGATATGGATTTCAGTATGTAGTATTCTATTTATCATATATTTAAAATACTTAATATGCGAGTTCACATGAAATCATTGAAGAATGTTTTTTGCATGTTTATGACCTTTTTTCTTTAAAATCTAATAAAGCAAATTTTAGGTCTTTGAAAACAAATTAAGTCCTCAGATGTTAGTAAAGAATTATTTTACAGGTATATTTAAATAAAATCAAGTTAATTAACTTTTAAACTATAAACAAACATTACTTCCAGTTTGATATGGATTTTTGCCCGCCGGTCTGATACGTGATATGGATTTTCAGACCAGTCCTTGATACGGTTTATTGTGACGTCCTCCGTATCACACAGTGCAGATTCGGTGTATTTACTACTAAGTATATGATAAATATATATATTATCTTGTACAGTTTATAACAAGTTGTTTCCCTTCTTTTCAGATTTGATTAATACTTTTCAGAAATTGAGTTTCATCAAGGAAGGGAAATTTGTCAATGTTGTCTGGGATTTCAAAGAGTGGGTGTTAAATCATCTTGTCAACAATCATGGTCTAGGAGATCAGTTTGAATTTAGAATCCATACCCTTGACAAAGGTACAGGAATATGCACAGAATGATAAAACAACAAAAAAACTGCTTTGATATGTTATACACCATGATTTTTGTGATTACAATTTATAATAATATTTTATGTTACATGTACTTTTCTTTAACAAAAAAGAAAAAAAAAACTTGTTAATCAATGATTGTTACTGCAGAAAGCAGGACACCCATATTCCACTATAGAAGGGGTGAAGGGGAGAGATGGCTGCCAGACATTGAAGATGAAAACACCTATGAACATCAACAGGACAAGTGTGGGATTCAAATTTTTAAGGTCATTGCATTAGTAATTTAAGCCGATAATGTTCTCTGAATAAAATGTTTTAGTGGACTAATCAGTAAAACTTTTACTGAAGGGAATGAAGGACTGGTCACATGACTGTTTAACTACATCATCTCTGATAATAATGATAATATAAGTGCAAGACCCAATTTACATGATTTAAACCATCAGTACTTGTGTATTTTTTTGACAATTTGTTTCACTTCAACATCTAATATTAAAAATTTTATCTTTCTTGTAAATTTTAACAAATTACGGATTACTAGTAGATTGATCCCTTCTTCCATTTTCTGACACTTTGCATCCAACATGTCGGTGATATCATACACAATCTCTTAGTATAGGAAGATCATACTCGGTAATTACATTGGCAGGAACAATTATCCTTTGATTATACCTACCTATATATTTAAATAAAATACAAGTTACTTCAAATATAGTACATGTAACTGGTGTTTTTCACTAGCATTGTAATTGTATATTATTTCTAAATATAGGACATGGGTTTTTTGAAAACAAACCCTAAATGCGTGGTGCCTACAGAGAAAAGCATGCACCTAAGCAGAATACTTCAGGAAACCTGCCCAAAGTTGTTAGAGTCTGGACTTCTCAAACCTGATGAGAAGCAATGGTGGGAAGAGTTCTCATCAACAGTGAGAGAAAGCTATCTTACACCACCAACCAATGTAAATAAAGTTTCCAATCAATATCCTAAAATATTCAATGTGTGATATATGGAAAGATAACTCTTGTAGATAGATGCATTTTTTTCCAAGCAGAGAAAAAAATGGGATATTTTGATTTAAAAAGCAATGCTTCATTATCTTTTGTAATATGAAACATGTAGGTATGTCAGTAAATATTATTTTCATATATACCTCAAATTTTTACTTTTATGTTAAGATAAAAAAAATATTAAATTTTTTGATTCAATGACTCAAAATTTCTTCATATCATGATTAGACATAATATTTGTTTCTGAATAAGTTAGCATCACTTCATACTTCAGACTATATTCCATTTAAATCTAATGCTATGGTTGTTGATGAAAATCAGTGTTGGGAATTTGAGAGAAAAATAGGTGAAATTTAGAGCATAGCTCTCAGAAAATGGATTTTGATGAAAATCCTCCTAGATGTTTATAAGATTTTAACTATTATTCAATGTTTGAATATTTTTATAGATAAATTTTCCCTTGGAAAACTTGATAAGGAGAGAATTGAGTGAATCTCCCACCTCCATTCACCCAGTAGAGAGAACCCTCCAAGAGCTGGATGACAGGACAAAGAGAAAGTCATTAGTATGAATAATAATTATAATAATGAACCATTTACATTATGAGATTTTATAGAACACTTTTTTGTGCATAACACATACATTAAATATACAAAATTTAAGATATTTCATGGAACATGGATTTGTGCATAAAACATACATTAAATACTCAAAAATTATATTTCTGATACAATAAAATTGTTTAAATTAAAGTTTGGTACCTGACACCAAACTTGATTAAAAGCATATCTTTTTAATTTCAGGTATACACTGGCGGGTACTTGAAACAAAAAAGGAGGAAAACAGCTGGCTGAATTACATGAATAAATATGTTTTATCTATAGACTGTAAGAAAAATTAATATTTTTGCACAAAAGGTTATTATAAGATATTGCCACCTAGTAATATGAAATGTGAAAATAACATGTAATTGCCTCTAATAAGAATTTTCAAAAAACCTCTGTTTGAGAAATATCTTAAGTCAGTCAAAGACTACACTAATTTACACTAGTCTAACTGAAATGAATTATCAATGCCAGCATTAAAAGACACTGAAGTCGGCTAATGCCTGCTTTGAGAGACACTGAAGTCTACCAATGCCTGCATTGAGATCTCGTAAAGCATTGAGAGACACTGAAGTCAGCCAATGCCTGCATTGAGAACTCATGAAGTCGGCCAATGCCTGCATTGAGAGACACTGAAGTTGGCCAATGCCTGCATTGAGATTTCATGAAGTCGGCCAATGCCTGCATTGAGAACTCATGAAGTCGGCCAATGCTTGCATTGAGAACTCATGGAGTCGGCCAATGCCTGCATTGACACCTCATGAAGTCGGCCAATGCCTGCATTGAGAACTCATGGAGTCGGCCAATGCCTGCATTGAGAACTAATGAAGTCGGCCAATGCCTGCATTGAGAACTCATGGAGTCGGCCAATGCCTGCATTGAGAACTCATGAAGTCGGCCAATGCCTGCATTGAGAGACACTGAAGTCGGCCAATGCCTCCATTGAGATTTCATGAAGTTGGCCAATGCCTGCATTGAGAACTCGTGAAGTCGGCCAATGCCTGCATTGAGACCTCATGAAGTCGGCCAATGCCTGCATTGAGAGACACTGAAGTTGGCCAATGCCTGCATTGAGAGACACTGAAGTCGGCCAATGCCTGCATTGATAAATCATAAGGTCAGATAATGCCAGTATTGAGAGACTTAATTGTTGACCAAAGCTTTGCATTCATTCACCAAAATCAATAATTCCCTGCATTGAGGAATGTTGAGAAGTAAAGTGTGTATTGCCTGCATCCACATACAGATTTACTTATTTATATGGCATTGCAACAATGCTGATCTTGATAGTGAAAAATGCAAAAATGTTTTCAATAGAAACACCCCAAAGTGGAAATTAATTTCTTTTCTCTTACCATTTTAGCCACATTTTCCACAAATTATAATTATGGATTTTTATCATTTCAATTTTGTGCCATATGACACTTTTTTCAAACTTGGAAGAATGAACCTTTTATATTTAACCACTGAAAAGATGATTTTTGAATTAAAAAAATAGTTTAGACAAACAAAAAATTAGTTGAGACTCCATTATATATAGGTTAAGAGCGTCTTTGGTGAATATATCCATCGGGAATTTAATGTCTCCTTGGCAGGATTATCCCGAATGTGCCCAAAGAGCGACTAATAATATATGTGTGTCTGGATGAGCGATTAATGTTCAAAGTATTTTGAATGTGTAAGATCTAGAGGTGCAAGTTGACATTGAGGATAACAAATTACTTAAAGAAAATGAAAATCAGTACGGATGTGAAAGACCAGGGATGACAGTATATACATGTACTTCCCTGGAAAGACTTAATAGTTGACTTGTGTAAATGAACTGCATGGAAAAAAATACCCATTCAAACTGATCTGCTTTCTGATTGACATCTTATTTACAAGCAACCTAGCTGCAGAACTTGATGAAAAAAAATAGTTGGCAAGACATAGAGCTACAAATGCGAAACTTGCAGTGGCGGATCCAGGAATCTTAAAAAGGGAGGGGGCGAGCAGTTTGGGGTCGGGGTAGGGGCCCAATACACACAAAAAAAAATGATTTATTAAATCTCATGTATATTTTGGACACAAAAGGGGGGGGGGGGGCTGGGTCCCCCTCTAAATCAGCCAGTGACTTATACTACATTTACTTTTAGACTAATTTGGACGAATTTTTCTGAAGTGACTCACACTTCGCTACTGATGTTGTCACTTTATTTTCATTAGAAATTCTTTAAATAATGCCATCATAAAGTCACGGAAGGTAAACTGAGTTCCTAAAGTAACGTCATATCTAGACATCAACTTGAGGTTGTCCAAGGTCACTATTAGTTGCTCTAGACTAGTATATACATTTAATAACTGTGCAAATTCCAAGGGGGGGGGGGGTCCGGACCCCCCGAACCCACCCTGCTCCCTATATCTGTACATGGGATTCATGACTTATATACTACATTCGCAAACAAATTATAGAAAACATACAGTGTATTAAAGAAACATGTGTAAATTTTGATTAACCTCTGACTGAACTAAGATGAAAAGAAACACATGAGTACATGTACGTGTGTTGTTTACTGATTTTTATTTGAAAATTAAAATAAGTACATAAATAATTACACGATGCACTTATTTTAATTTTCAAATAAAAATCAGTAGACGACACATGTAAATGATGTTGCCACATGGAAAAACGAAGGGAAAATGGGCAACAGGGATAAATTTGCTGTATATGTATGATTTCTAATATGTTTGGATACTGAAAATGAAGTTGCTGGAAATGTATCTTTATTTTAAAGAGGGTTCGTAGTCGATACATAGGGCCGGAGATATGTATATGCAAGTGCCACGTTATGTTGAATACTTACACTAAACATCATTTTTATTTAAAGTACATTTAGATCCTTCTTTGAACCAGTGCGATTCCTGAATGTTGTAAATTATAAAAAGTTATAGGTTTAAGCCATGAGCAGATAAAGAGTATCCAGTCATTATGTGGAAATAGAATAAGACAGGTATAGAAATATTCCGAGAAATGACAGAGAATGAAATTTTGTCTAATTACAAAAGGTATTCTTTGTATATTGAAAATGAAGTCCACTCTATGGAATGTTGTGATTTATCTGATGATATTAGAAAAGGCAGTCAAATAACAAAATATCTCTATCTTTTAGGAAATAATAAAATTTATTTCAGTGTGGAGGAACAAATATCTTCAATGCTTTGACATTTTTTTTCTCTAGATTTTGAAAGAAGAGACATTTTTATGGAGTCTCAAGAAGATTGATATTATACTTGTAAAATACAAGAATTGTAAATATAAACATGTTATATTATGCTTTATGCTTGAACTCGACTATGTTTAATATATGTGATTATGTATTGATTTTATGTATGTTATTGTTTAAATTATTGTATTCATGACTATATGCCAATGTATGATGGTGTTGTCAATAAATAAAATAAATTGAATTGAATATGTAAATACATGTGACTTAAAATGTATTTACTTTGGGCCGGTGGCCTTGAATACTTTAATACAGGCCCATAGCAATGGTTTCAAAAGTGGGGGGGGGGGGGGGTCAACTTTGGACTTTCCCCAAAACTTTAACACACACACACCCCTCACAAACAAAAACAAAACCTAAACTCACCAAAAGTGGGGGGGGGGGACTTCCCAAAATTACCTGACAAGCCCCCCAAAAATAAAAAAGCTAATTTACTGTCCGAATCCCTTAATTTGCCTGTGCTCGACCTTACTACAACAAAAAGTGTGTGTGTGTGGGGGGGGGGGGGGGCAATCAGCATCTAGAGGAAAATTTATTACATAGCAAAATAGCCCCCCCCCCTGCGTTCTACGGGCCAGTAATAAAATATATTATTACTAAAAAATATATCATGCAAACAAGTCCTGAAGACGTAATTCGTGAAAATAGAAGCACTCGGGATCGAGATTCCGAAAATTCCATGAGTATAATTCGCCAGAAAAATTCGAAAATTCAATCCATCCAATTTTAAATTGCATGGATGATTCATCTAATTCTTCAGATTCATCTAATTCTTCAAACTCCATTTTATCACCATGCTCATCCTCTTCAGCATCAGAACTAATGCGGAAAAGGGGAAGATCAAGCTCAGGGGACGACAGTTACATGTCCGGAGTGAAATGTGGGAGGTTTTGCTGAAGACTATGTTTCAGAATGGTGTATTTGTAAATTAGAATCTTTTGGAATCTTTAATAATGGAAAAGCAACAGAATTGTCTGAGTTATATGAATTAGCTCTGAAAGACTTGTATTTGGCACTAGGTATCAAAGATCATGATGCGTTGTTGTCTAAACTTCTTGAGATAAAGGAATTTCTGGTGGAATCAACGAAAAATTGCTTGCAGAGCTTAGACATCGATGAAGAATTTTCTGAACTTGATTCAATGAGTCTATTTGTCAGTGCACACACTATACAAAACCGTAAGTAAAAGTAATTTTTCTCTATATATGTCACAAGTCGTGTGTGGAGGACCCTTAATCAAACATGATTCTCTGTTTTTACAAATTTGATCAACCACAGTCACCACTCACTATAGAACACCATAGCTGCCTTATGTGGTTATTTCATGAGAAGATGGTGCTTTATTATGTTATGCTGTGGTTATTTCATGTGAAGGTGGTGCTTTATTATGTTATGCTGTGGTTGTTTCATGTGAAGGTGGTGCTTTATTATGTTATGCTGTGGTTATTTCATGTGAAGATGGTGCTTTATTATGCTGTGGTTATTTCATGTGAAGGTGGTGCTTTATTATGTTGTGGTTATTTCATGTGAAGGTGGTGCTTTATTATGTTATGCTGTGGTTGTTTCATGTGAAGGTGGTGCTTTATTATGTTATGCTGTGGTTATTTCATGTGCAGATGGTGCTTTATTATGTTATGCTGTGGTTATTTCATGTGAAGATGGTGCTTTATTATGTTATGCTGTGGTTGTTTCATGTGAAGGTGGTTTTTCATGTGAAGGTGGTTTTTTATGTGATGGTGGTTTTTCATGTGATGGTGGTTTTTAGCTCACCTGAGCCAAAGGCTCAAGTGAGCTTTTCTGATCAAAATTTGTCCATTGTCTGTCTGTTGTCGTCGTTGGCGTTGGCACCATTGTTGTTGTTGTAAACTTTTCACATTTTCATCTTCTTCTCCAGAACTACTGGGCCAATTTCAACCAAACTTGGCACAGAGTATCCTTGGGTGAAGGGGATTCAAATTTGTTCAAATGAAGGCCACGCCTTCTTCCAAGGGGAGATAATTGTGAATTT